GTTCTCATAAATGATATCTAATTGTAAATTGGCAAAAACCAGTTTTACATAGATATTTAGTGTGACAGAAAAATGAGATACCCTGGTAACTTTACAAGTAAATTTCCCTGTTGAAGTGCTGTATGCATTTCCATTGTAGATTTATGTTTTGGTTACATTGCTGTCAGATGTTCTAGATGTATACATGAAAACTGAAGACTATGAAATTATTGGGCCATTGCAAAATATTTCATATTCAAAGTGAAATCTTTGGAAAAGAACCATTTCCAACAAAGAAATTACCTTTGTTTGTTTTACTTTTATATTTGTCCGTAGTTTCAGAATTTTCTTTCCGTTCATCTCCTTGACTAGTAACTGTTGTGGCATTAAAATTTTCCCACAAAACTGACCTTTGACTTTTTCTCCTCATGTTTCTCCTCTTTTAGCTTCTTTTCTTGTTGTGATTTAAACCTCAGACAAAGTTTTTTCTCATCTGTAAATATCCCAGCAGAAAGTAGCTTGTGAACCATAAGGTTTATTTCTGATATAAAATATTTATTTTTGCTCATCCTTCTATTGGTTCCAGTACATTTGTAATGTGTTCTCATAAATGATATCTAATTGTAAATTGGCAAAAACCAGTTTTACATAGATATTTAGTACGACAGAAAAATGAGATACTCTGGTAACTTTACAATAAATTTCCCCGTTGAAGTGCTGTATGCATTTTCAATGTGGAATCTTTGGAGAAGAACAATTTCCAACAAAGAAATTACCTTTGTTTGTTTTACTATCATAATTATTTGTCCGTAGTTTCAGAATTGTCTGTCTGTTAATGTTCTTGACTAGTTGTGGCTTTAAAATTTTCCCACAAAGCTGACCTTTGACGTTTTCTCCTCAGCTTCTCCTCTTTTAGCTTCTTTTCTTGTTGTGATTTAAACTTCAGACAAAGTTTTTTCTCCTCTGAAAATTACTCAGCAAATAGAAAGTAGCTTGTGAACCATAAGATTTATTTCTAGTATAAAATATTTATTTTTGCTCATTCTTCTATTGGTTCCAGTACATTTGTAATGTGTTCTCATAAATGATATCTAATTGTAAATTGGCAAAAACCAGTTTTACATAGATATTTAGTGTGACAGAAAAATGAGATACCCTGGTAACTTTACAAGTAAATTTCCCTGTTGAAGTGCTGTATGCATTTCCATTGTAGATTTATGTTTTGGTTACATTGCTGTCAGATGTTCTAGATGTATACATGAAAACTGAAGACTATGAAATTATTGGGCCATTGCAAAATATTTCATAATCAAAGTGAAATCTTTGGAAAAGAACCATTTCCAACAAAGAAATTACCTTTGTTTGTTTTACTTTTATATTTGTCTGTAGTTTCAGAATTTTCTTTCCGTTCATCTCCTTGACTAGTAACTGTTGTGGCATTAAAATTTTCCCACAAAACTGACCTTTGACTTTTTCTCCTCATGTTTCTCCTCTTTTAGCTTCTTTTCTTGTTGTGATTTAAACCTCAGACAAAGTTTTTTCTCATCTGTAAATATCCCAGCAGAAAGTAGCTTGTGAACCATAAGGTTTATTTCTGATATAAAATATTTATTTTTGCTCATCCTTCTATTGGTTCCAGTACATTTGTAATGTGTTCTCATAAATGATATCTAATTGTAAATTGGCAAAAACCAGTTTTACATAGATATTTAGTACGACAGAAAAATGAGATACTCTGGTAACTTTACAAGTAAATTTCCCCGTTGAAGTGCTGTATGCATTTTCAATGTGGAATCTTTGGAGAAGAACAATTTCCAACAAAGAAATTACCTTTGTTTGTTTTACTATCATAATTATTTGTCTGTAGTTTCAGAATTGTCTGTCTGTTAATGTTCTTGACTAGTTGTGGCTTTAAAATTTTCCCACAAAGCTGACCTTTGACGTTTTCTCCTCAGCTTCTCCTCTTTTAGCTTCTTTTCTTGTTGTGATTTAAACTTCAGACAAAGTTTCTTCTCCTCTGAAAATTACTCAGCAAATAGAAAGTAGCTTGTGAACCATAAGATTTATTTCTAGTATAAAATATTTATTTTTGCTCATTCTTCTATTGGTTCCAGTACATTTGTAATGTGTTCTCATAAATGATATCTAATTGTAAATTGGCAAAAACCAGTTTTACATAGATATTTAGTGTGACAGAAAAATGAGATACCCTGGTAACTTTACAAGTAAATTTCCCTGTTGAAGTGCTGTATGCATTTCCATTGTAGATTTATGTTTTGGTTACATTGCTGTCAGATGTTCTAGATGTATACATGAAAACTGAAGACTATGAAATTATTGGGCCATTGCAAAATATTTCATATTTAAAGTGAAATCTTTGGAAAAGAACCATTTCCAACAAAGAAATTACCTTTGTTTGTTTTACTTTTATATTTGTCCGTAGTTTCAGAATTTTCTTTCCGTTCATCTCCTTGACTAGTAACTGTTGTGGCATTAAAATTTTCCCACAGAACTGACCTTTGACTTTTTCTCCTCATGTTTCTCCTCTTTTAGCTTCTTTTCTTGTTGTGATTTAAACCTCAGACAAAGTTTTTTCTCATCTGTAAATATCCCAGCAGAAAGTAGCTTGTGAACCATAAGGTTTATTTCTGATATAAAATATTTATTTTTGCTCATCCTTCTATTGGTTCCAGTACATTTGTAATGTGTTCTCATAAATGATATCTAATTGTAAATTGGCAAAAACCAGTTTTACATAGATATTTAGTACGACAGAAAAATGAGATACTCTGGTAACTTTACAATAAATTTCCCCGTTGAAGTGCTGTATGCATTTTCAATGTGGAATCTTTGGAGAAGAACAATTTCCAACAAAGAAATTACCTTTGTTTGTTTTACTATCATAATTATTTGTCCATAGTTTCAGAATTGTCTGTCTGTTAATGTTCTTGACTAGTTGTGGCTTTAAAATTTTCCCACAAAGCTGACCTTTGACGTTTTCTTCTCAGCTTCTCCTCTTTTAGCTTCTTTTCTTGTTGTGATTTAAACTTCAGACAAAGTTTCTTCTCCTCTGAAAATTACTCAGCAAATAGAAAGTAGCTTGTGAACCATAAGATTTATTTCTAGTATAAAATATTTATTTTTGCTCATTCTTCTATTGGTTCCAGTACATTTGTAATGTGTTCTCATAAATGATATCTAATTGTAAATTGGCAAAAACCAGTTTTACATAGATATTTAGTGTGACAGAAAAATGAGATACCCTGGTAACTTTACAAGTAAATTTCCCTGTTGAAGTGCTGTATGCATTTCCATTGTAGATTTATGTTTTGGTTACATTGCTGTCAGATGTTCTAGATGTATACATGAAAACTGAAGACTATGAAATTATTGGGCCATTGCAAAATATTTCATAATCAAAGTGAAATCTTTGGAAAAGAACCATTTCCAACAAAGAAATTACCTTTGTTTGTTTTACTTTTATATTTGTCTGTAGTTTCAGAATTTTCTTTCCGTTCATCTCCTTGACTAGTAACTGTTGTGGCATTAAAATTTTTCCCACAAAACTGACCTTTGACTTTTTCTCCTCATGTTTCTCCTCTTTTAGCTTCTTTTCTTGTTGTGATTTAAACCTCAGACAAAGTTTTTTCTCATCTGTAAATATCCCAGCAGAAAGTAGCTTGTGAACCATAAGGTTTATTTCTGATATAAAATATTTATTTTTGCTCATCCTTCTATTGGTTCCAGTACATTTGTAATGTGTTCTCATAAATGATATCTAATTGTAAATTGGCAAAAACCAGTTTTACATAGATATTTAGTACGACAGAAAAATGAGATACTCTGGTAACTTTACAAGTAAATTTCCCCGTTGAAGTGCTGTATGCATTTTCAATGTGGAATCTTTGGAGAAGAACAATTTCCAACAAAGAAATTACCTTTGTTTGTTTTACTATCATAATTATTTGTCCGTAGTTTCAGAATTGTCTGTCTGTTAATGTTCTTGACTAGTTGTGGCTTTAAAATTTTCCCACAAAGCTGACCTTTGACGTTTTCTTTACAGCTTCTCCTCTTTTAGCTTCTTTTCTTGTTGTGATTTAAACTTCAGACAAAGTTTCTTCTCCTCTGAAAATTACTCAGCAAATAGAAAGTAGCTTGTGAACCATAAGATTTATTTCTAGTATAAAATATTTATTTTTGCTCATTCTTCTATTGGTTCCAGTACATTTGTAATGTGTTCTCATAAATGATATCTAATTGTAAATTGGCAAAAACCAGTTTTACATAGATATTTAGTGTGACAGAAAAATGAGATACCCTGGTAACTTTACAAGTAAATTTCCCTGTTGAAGTGCTGTATGCATTTCCATTGTAGATTTATGTTTTGGTTACATTGCTGTCAGATGTTCTAGATGTATACATGAAAACTGAAGACTATGAAATTATTGGGCCATTGCAAAATATTTCATATTCAAAGTGAAATCTTTGGAAAAGAACCATTTCCAACAAAGAAATTACCTTTGTTTGTTTTACTTTTATATTTGTCTGTAGTTTCAGAATTTTCTTTCCGTTCATCTCCTTGACTAGTAACTGTTGTGGCATTAAAATTTTCCCACAAAACTGACCTTTGACTTTTTCTCCTCATGTTTCTCCTCTTTTAGCTTCTTTTCTTGTTGTGATTTAAACCTCAGACAAAGTTTTTTCTCATCTGTAAATATCCCAGCAGAAAGTAGCTTGTGAACCATAAGGTTTATTTCTGATATAAAATATTTATTTTTGCTCATCCTTCTATTGGTTCCAGTACATTTGTAATGTGTTCTCATAAATGATATCTAATTGTAAATTGGCAAAAACCAGTTTTACATAGATATTTAGTACGACAGAAAAATGAGATACTCTGGTAACTTTACAATAAATTTCCCCGTTGAAGTGCTGTATGCATTTCCATTGTAGATTTATGTTTTTGTGACATTGCTGTCAGAAGTTTTAGATGTAATTTATGAAAACTGCAGACCATGAAATTATTGGGCCATTGCATATATATACTGTATAGCGCATTATATCTGCGGTGTCAAATGTTGGCGTTTTTTAAAGTGTTTTGAATTGGCGGGGTCATAAATTGGCGCAATCGCTTTTAGACCGCCAAATTAAAACACTTGTTGGCATAAATATGGGGTCATGAATTGGCGATTACAAATAAAGAATAAAAATAACACCGGTTACGCAGTAGTTGACTGTCCTCGTTTATTTTACGGCATACGGTATACCTATGCTTGGTCACCTTTATCTTTACATCGTGCTAATTCTTATAATTAACTGGGATCAGACAGGTGTAAATATGGTACCGTGTGGTAACTGGACCATGGAAGAGAAAGGTATGCCCTATTATCCTGCAGTCTTTAAAGCGTGAAAAATTGTTCACGTTCACCACAACTGATTGCTATATAATTACAGTTATCATTAGTTTTATTTCAAATTATGAAACATAACAGTGAAAACAAAACAAATACTAGTTTACTTAAATTCGATAATAAATGACATTTAGATTTGTTTCTCGTCGTGTGATCATCTTTGTAATAAATACAGTATATAGATATATAATTAAATGAGTTTCGTACCAAGACTTAAAAATAAACAAATTCTTTTCAGCTTACTTGTAATGTTTATTTTTATTACAAATAATCAAGGGAGATTACTCGGACAAACCAAAGCCCTTTTACCATGAGTTGTCTACCTTTCAAAGAATAATGGCGATGATCTAAAATGGCGGTGCTTTAAATTAGCGGTGTTTTGAATTGGCGCTACTGACCCTGACCGCCAATATAGCCAAATATAAACCCCCGCCAAAATAAGTACTTATACTGTATCTTATTCAAAGTGAAATCTTTGGAGAAGAACAATTTTCCAACAAAAGAATTACCTTTGTTTGTTTTACTTTCATATTTGTCCTTAGTTTCTGAATTTTCTGTCCGTTCATCTCCTTGACTAGTTGTGGCATTAAACTTTTCCCTCAAGACTGACCTTTGTCTTTGACCTTATCTCCTCATGTTTTCTCCTCTTTTAGCTTCTTTTCTTGTTGTGATTTAAACTTCAAACAAAGTTCTTTCTCATCTGTAAGAATTCCAGCAGAAAATATATAAATCATTTAGATTATAACCATTCAGTTTATTTCCATTATAAAATATGAGAATTTATATGCACATGATATCATAATTAAATGTACAAAGGGGGCGTCCGTGGCCGAGTGGTTAAGGTCGTTGACTTCAAACCACTTGCCCCTCACCGCTGTGGGTTCGAATCCCGACAGGGTAAAAGAAAAAGAAAAACTTTATCATTGGATTCTACATTATTTTTTTTTAAACTTCAAAGGTAATTGACTAATTAACATTAATTTTGCATTGCTTGCAAACACTATTCTAGAATTAATATTGTAATTGTTACGGAAATAAAATGCATAATTATTTTGAAGAACAACCCTTTTCCTGTGTGTACTATTCAAGATGCTTGGGTCAAGGTCACATAGTCTAAGTATATTCAAATGCTGTCATTTATATTATTGGAACCTTGAATGGTCCAATTATAAGCAAGGTTTTTTTCCCCTGCATATGGTCAAGTTTCAGATTCTTTGAATCGTTTGAAATAGAGTCCAACATCTTTTGTATGTTTCTAGAGTAGACTGAGCAAGGGGTTCAGCAGACTCCGGATATTTTTATCTATATAGACAGAGGCTATTAAATGTAGCAAACAAATCTGTCCATTGTTCAATAGACAAATATTTTTGAATTTGAAGATGGGTCACATTTTAGTGACTGTGATATTTAGTAAGTGGTCCTGTCCTGTTTATTAAACACAGATGATAGGTCTACAAATTCATCAACCCATATTTTTCTTTAACGTTTAAAGATACTGCTGCATGTAAAGGGATAGATGGCAAAGAATGGAGTGAAAGGTTCCCAGAAATACCAGTACCTATATGTGACAAGCTCAGTGAGTTTTGGTCCAAATGTGATATTTGGGCAAAAATGAGTTATGACTAGTTTGAGGTAGAACAACATCTGCTGAATAGCTGGAAACAATTATTTTTTTAAAATACTTGATATTTTATGAAATATTCTAATTTTTATGACATCACCATAACAACAACAAATAAATTTAAACTTTTATTGGTATATATAAACTAGAAATTATTCCATAGTTATACACATTAAAATAAACGAAATATCAAGTTATCATTCATCTTGGTGTAATATATGTAATATCTTGATAAAAAAACTATCATTTGTTTTCAATAATCGTTTGCCATGGCAACAAAAATAAAAAAAAAATTGTCAAATGCAATATTTTTGCACTTAACATGATTAATTCATCACCAAATGAATGCATATATAATATTAAAAGACAACAATATTTTAGACTTTTCAGAAAAAGAAAAAAAAAAGGATATTTCATTTTCCCCTTAAATTGTTATTGATAATAAAATATTAACATAAGGATTAAATTCTCAGAATTTTAGTATCTTTTCCATGATTAAGGCGAATATCATAACTTAAGTTAGTCTACTTTAAAACTCATAGCTGTTACATGATAGCATATAAATTATAAATCCATTGCAAAACAAATATTCTTTAATGCACTGATTACAAAAATGGTATATTTTGGTTGCCATGGTAACAAAAAAATGATGAAAAAACTGAATGATTTAAAATATGGTATTTTCTAAAAAAATATTCCATATAAGATAATTGTATTCACAATAACTGCACTAGTTATTTTCCTGACTATATTAACAGTTACAGATATTGACAGTGTAATCAATTATTCTGATCAGTGTATTTTAAATTGTATAATATGAATAACATATTAGTATATTTTCAAATTGAAATGATTTCAATAATTTGAAAGAATTACAATAGCAGATTCTTGCAAACACATGGGAAGTCAAAAATAACAGCTCACTTATGTCCTTGAATGTGTAGTCTTGCAACCCTAGGTTGAGGGTTTAATCCAAACAGGGTAACAACAACCATGTCTCCTCATGTCTTCAGTTTTTGTAAGCATAAAGTGAATCGTATATAAAACTTGCAAAAACTTGTTTCACAATTAAGTAAAAATACTGTAACATCTGTCACCACAGTTTTCAGCATTTTCAGGGATACTCCTGAAGACACAAATTCTATGAGAATGTAATTCACTTTCATATACTGTCAAACATAGACAAGTCATTGACTTCTCACATGCCATCCTGAAATAATAAAAACCTTAATAAGTATAAATGAAACAATATAGTGTATATGATGATTTTAATGAACAGAAATGAATGACAAGTAAATTGTTGTATAGTGTTGCACAGCTATTTGGTTCATATATAGTCTTGTTCATCATGTACGAACTATGTAAGTAATATATTACAGTCTATATATCATGTACATGTAGCAGTAACATTCATCTTGAACATGACTAAAATAACCTGAATCTACATTATGTGAACATGACTGAATCTACATTATGTGCATGTATTGTGGTGAAGACACCTCACTTTACATTTCACAAAATAGATTATTTAATATGGAATACTGCATAAATATACATCTTACCCAATTGAAGTGTTGTTAATCCTGACCAATACAGTACAGTTGATGAAAAGTGTTGTTTTTTTACTCCATACCCCTGGTGCTCAATAGGGCAAAGATGTCACACATTGTCCTCATTTGCAACAATAGTTTAGTATATTCATCAGCAAATAGATAAAATATCTATAATTATGTTCTTCCTCATTTGCAACAATAGTTTAGTATATTCATCAGCAAATAGATAAAATATCTATATGTTCTGAAAATAATGTATATGGATATGAGCTTAACATTATTTTCAAGTATTTGCATAAAACAATACAGCATTATTTCTAAATATAAACTTAAAATTTAGTTCATGTTACTGTACTGGAACCCCTTAAAATTAAGACATGAAAATTTGTGTGACTTTGCAAGTGTTTTTCTCGCAATTATTAAAACCTCAATTGGGTCAAAAATTGCTGAGCGCGTCACATATGACCAGGCTGATCACCAAAAGTAGAAATAACCAAAAGTAGAAATTGTATTTGGTTTCTCTGGCTGTGGTCATTCCAAAACAGGCATAATTTGAGTAGCACTTGTGTCTGTCTTATCCTTCCCAAAATGTCTTGAATTTTTTTATCTACAATTGCCTCCAATTTGGTTGACAATGTGTCCACAATTGTTCCACTCTGGTACGAATCCATTGTACTTGTTTGGGGTTAAGGTGCAGATGGGCATCGCAAGTCCTTGTTTCTTTTGTTATAATGGCTATCAGTTACATTATTCACAGTGTTACCATTTGTCTCGATTGCAGGTGTTTTTTGTTTGTTTTTGTTTTGACTCTGTTACATAATTTTATTATCATAAAATATATTGAAAACAGTATTTTATAAGATATTATAATTAATTATCAATCAATGAAATATGTTATAAGCATATTCTAATTATTTAAAGGGACTCCACTGAGGTTTTTTGACATGACGGGACTGGAAATAATTTTTTGAGATTATTACTCCATTTGATGTAAGATCTATACTTTTAACTTATGTGCAAAATTTCAGATCATAAGCTCGCTCCGTTTTTCAGAATAATTATTATGATAGTGAAAAATGACCCAAAATTGAAAAGCTTTTAAACGCTTTTCACTCAAATTGGACCGAGAATAGCACAAACATATGATTTTCAATGTATTTCTTGTATATTTCCTGTTTATATCTTATTTATATTACTGTTTAAAGTGCTTACGTTTATCTATGTGAAAATTAAAATGTTATGGTTTAGGCTCATAAACCTCAGTAGAGTACCTTTAATGTAAGCACTTACAGTATAATCATTATAACAACTATGACACAATATAGTTATCTCCCTTGTTGAAATAATGTCTAATAATTACAGTATATAAACAACAAAATGATATAGTTATCTCCCTTGTTAAAATAATGTGTAATAATTATTTCAATGCAGGCATTACTAAATTGTCATTTTTGTTTCCCTCTCGTTCAGAAGAAGTTGTGACTCTTTTCCTGGATGGATTTTTTGTTCCTGAAATTTAGGTATATATAAACATTGATAAACGTAAATTTGATCGAAACTGAAAAAACAACCAGCCATATCCCAAGAACTGTAGTTGCTTTAAAGAGAGTGTTTCCAAGAGAGTTTTCAAGATATGATTTGCCTGGACTTGTTTACTTAACGTAAAGTCTCTTATTGATATTTTTGGGTTTTGCCCGCATAAACATGTCACATATGAAAACTTGCTTGATGTTGTACACCTTCACAATCATTAAAGTCATTGAGTCTTTCAACTAATAATGACAAGTGTGATAAATAGAGGATATTCAAGTTTTTTTGTATAAATACAGTATCTATTTTTATCAAGTGATATGAAAATAAATATTTCACAGTGGTGGTAGCCACAAGATGTAAACAAAGGAAAAAAAATTCCTGTTTATTATTATGCTTTTTCTCTTTTCTTATCTTACAATTCTTAAGAATTCTCCTTTAATTTTGTGTATTAATGGCTGAATTAAGAAGAAAGTAGTCTGAAAATAATTAATATGGAAAATTATAATGTTTTACAGAATAAAATTATGAACATTTCTCAATTTTACATTTATAAGAACATAATAAAAAAGGTCCTTCTTTTAAAATCTCATTATTCATGTACAGTAGAGCTAATATTATCTATAATAATATTTTTATAGTTTAATTATGTGTTATGTGCTAATTTTGTCACATCATATTTATTTTTGCTAATCCTTCTATAGATTCCAGTACATTGCTAATGTGTTATCATAAATGATCTTAAATTGTGAATTGACAGAAACAAATTTCACATAGATCTCTTGTGTGACAGAAAAATGAGATACTCTGGTAATGATACTCTGGTAATTTTACAAATAAATTGCCCTGTCGGACTGCTGTAAGCATTTCCTTTGTTGATACATATATTGACTGGATGATGTTCTTAAATGTTCTCCTTAACAGCGCTATGTATAGAGTGACAGAGAAATAATAACACTTCTTTTTTTTTTAATGATAATTGTGTCTCCAAAACTTTTATAAACAGAATAAACGCAAACACAAGCGCACCATTGAGGAACAGTACTTCAAGGCGCTGGGTGATAGCCCCCTGGTTGGTGTTGTGCTGGCCTCATAATATCAAACATGAGGCTTGGGTACCTCCCAACAGTTTCATAGAGGATTTCCTGTAATTCCTCTCTTGTCTGTCTTGACAATTCTTCCTAAATACAGAGATACACAAGTAAATCAAAGGAAGGAGAAAATACACATCAAACATCAGGATGGTTTATAACTGGTTTATTCTAGGATCTACTGGTTTCGGTCTTTCAAGACCTTCATCAGGATACATTTCAAAGAAAAATGATTACTGAAGTACTAAAAATGTGTAAACCGAATGTGACGTATGTTACTATAAATAGACATATAAATGAGTTAAAGTCATTAAATAGTCATTAAATACAGAGATATCAATGAAATACTTAAGCTAATTCAATATTTCTAAAATTGCATGTTATTCTGCATTTCTTAATAAATACAAGGAACATATTTTCCGATTGCAATAATCAACAGTTTAATTTTGAATCTTTTCAAATTTCAAATTAATTTTGTCATTTATGAAGAAGGAGGAACTGGCAATTTTTCAAACATTGTTCATTTTATTTTCTATATTATTATATAGGTGGACTGGTAGGAAAATGAAACAAAATGTGACAAAATTAAAATACCGTCCTATAAGCCATGTGTGATTTCTTGCCAAATTAGTGATACCATTAACAAATTTATAAAAAGTTAAATAAAATTTACAACAGCACTAGCTAATGATTCTTACCCTCATACTCTCTTGACGCTGTTGGATTATCTCAAAGGCTCCAACTTCTCTCTGTTCTTCTAAATGGCCACGTCCTCTACCCCTGGACCTGCTTCCTCGCCCTCTTGAACTACTTGACCTTGCGCCCCTTGACCTGCCCCTTGACCTACTTCCTCTTCCACCTCTTTTCCCACGACCTTTACCTCTTGATCTACTCTCTCTCTCTGGAGTCGAACTTGTTTCCATATCTTCAAAACTTTCTATGGAAGCTACACTAGGACTTGAGTCTCCACCCTGAAAATTTATATATGATGCTTATTTACAAGTGAAAAAAGTACACATGCTTTCCTCAAATATTTTACTAAGACTATTAACAGAATTGACATTTTAAAAAAGAAGGATCTGATTACATACAATTAAACCTCTAAACATATATGTTTCATTTAATTAAGCCATGCTGAACATGAATAAGTTTAGTAAACTCATTCCAGTGCAGAAATAATTACAGTAACTGTCTTAGTATAAAAACAGCCTGAACATTTTTTTTTCTTGCAATATTAGTATTATTTACTGTTGAAAACACAATTTTATAGATAAACAGAAATGAGATAATTTGACATGGATGTCCAAAGCAGCCATTCTTTTGTCAGTCTACGGAAGAACAGTATGGCGGACGAACACTCGCAAATCTATTTACCCCCCCCCCCCAACACAGGTCTACACACACACAGTGAGGCTGTGATGGGTACGAAATTATGGTGGGCGAATTTTATAAACTTGTAAAGGCGTACAAGATATCCGTTTATAGTTAGTTATATGTGTAATTCAGTCCTTCCACACACAAATATACATAACATTTATTTCATTCGTCAACTTGTGAAACTGATTTGTTTTCACGCCTGAATAATACATAAATGGCCTAGGTTATTGAATCACATTTTTTTATCGTTTTCAAGCTTAATTTTATCTGGGACAAAATATTTTGTTCCAGATTTTTAGCTTGACTATTCGATAAGAATAAGTAGAGCTATGTTAGTCACCCGAGCGTTGGCGTCGGCGTAACCACTTATGTTAAAGTTTTTGTAATAGTTCAAATATTTTCAAAGTCCATTGACATATGGCTTTGAAACTTTGCACACTTGTTCACCATCATGCCCCCAACCTGTAGACAGGAGGAGATAACTCTATCAAGCATTTTAACAGAATTATGCCCCTTTTTAGCTCGACTATTCGATAAGAATAAGTAGAGCTATTGCAGTCACCCGAGCGTCGGCGTCGGCGTAACCACTTATGTTAAAGTTTTTGTAATAGTTCAAATATTTTCAAAGTCCATAGACATATGGCTTTGAAACTTTGCACACTTGTTCACCATCATGACCCAAACCTGTAGACAGGAGGAGGTAACTCTATCAAGCATTTTGACAGAATTATGCCCCTTTTTCGACTTAGAATTTATAATAAAGTTTTTGTAATAGTTCAAATATTTTCAAAGTCCATTGACATATGGCTTTGACACTTTACACACTTGTTCACCATCATGACCCCAACCTGGAAACAGGAGGAGGTAACTCTATCAAGCATTTTGACAGAATTATGCCCCTTTTTTGACTTAGAATTTACGTTAAAGTTTTTGTAATAGTTCAAATATTTTCAAAGTCTATTGACATATGGCTTTGAAACTTTGCACACTTGTTCACCATCATGACCCCAACCTGTAAACAGGAGGAGGTAACTCTATTAAGCATTTTGACAGAATTATGCCCCTTTTTCGACTTAGAATTTACGTTAAAGTTTTTGTAATAGTTCAAATATTTTCAAAGTCCATTGACATATGGCTTTGAAACTTTGCACACTTGTTCACCATCATGACCCCAACCTGGAAACAGGAGGAGGTAACTCTATCAAGCATTTTGACAGAATTATGCCCCTTTTTTCGACTTAGAATTTACGTTAAAGTTTTTGTAATAGTTCAAATATTTTCAAAGTCCATTGACATATGGCTTTGAAACTTTGCACACTTGTTCACCATCATGACCCCAACCTGTAAACAGGAGGAGGTAACTCTATCAAGCATTTTTTTACTATCAAGCACTAAGAATAGTCGAGCGTTGCTGTCCTACCGACAGCTCTTGTTTTCACTATCAAGCACTAAGAATAGTCGAGCGTTGCTGTCCTACCGACAGCTCTTGTTCGACTTAGAATTTACGTTAAAGTTTTTGTAATAGTTCGAATATTTTCCAAGTCCATTGATATATGGCTTTGAAACTTTGCACACTTGTTCACCATCATGACCCCAACCTGAAAACAGGAGGAGGTAACTCTATCAAGCATTTTGACAGAATGATGCCCCTTTTTCGACTTAGAATTTACGTTAAAGTTTTTGTAATAGTTCAAATATTTTCAAAGTCCATTGACATATGGCTTTGAAACTTTGCACACTTGTTCACCATCATGACCCCAACCTGTAGACAGGAGGAGGTAACTCTATTAAGCATTTTGACAGAATTATGCCCCTTTTTCGACTTAGAATTTACGTTAAAGTTTTTGTAATAGTTCAAATATTTTCAAAGTCCATTGATATATGGCTTTGAAACTTTGCACACTTGTTCACCATCATGACCCCAACCTGTAAACAGGAGGAGGTAACTGTATCAGGCATTTTTTTTACTATCAAGCACGAAGAATAGTCGAGTGTTGCTGTCCTACCGACAGCTCTTGTTCAACTTAGAATTTACGTTAAAGTTTTTGTAATACCTCAAATATTTTCAAAGTCCATTGACATATGGCTTTGAAACATTGCACACTTGTTCACAATCATGACCCCAACCTATAGACAGGAGGAGGTAACTCTACCAAGCATTTTAACAGAATTATGCCCCTTTTTCGACTTAGAATTTACGTTAAAGTTTTTGTAATACCTCAAATATTTTCAAAGTCCATTGACATATGGCTTTGAAACTTTGCACACTTGTTCACCATCATGACCCCAACCTGTAGACAGGAGGAGGTAACTCTATCAAGCATTTTGACAGAATTATGCCCCTTTTTCGACTTAGAATTTACGTTAAAGTTTTTGTAATAGTTCAAATATTTTCAAAGTCCATTGACATATGGCTTTGAAACTTTGCACACTTGTTCACCATCATGACCCCAACCTGTAAACAGGAGGAGGTAACTGTATCAAGCATTTTTTTTACTATCAAGCACTAAGAATAGTCGAGCGTTGCTGTCCTACCGACAGCTCTTGTATAGAATAAATAATTACACATCATAAAAACTTACGGAAGCCATCTCTATTCGTCGTAAGGGTGCTAATAGTTTATCTGATATATGTATTTTGCTCAAACTCTCTTTGCTAACGTTGGTTGTTTTGTTTCTAAAAATACCGACTTCCGGTTGAATAAATTATGCTAATTAGACGGAACAGGTGTCTACGGGATATACCGATTCATGCCAAACGGTTTTGACAGCGGGAGTAAAATAGAGTTTGAATTTGTTGTATAAATTCATTTGCCGCAGATATATTTTACTTTAAACGTTATAATAGTCTTTTTATATAGAATTGAAACTAATAAGGTCGAAAAGTACAGTTATTTTGACTTTTACCTGATAACGATCATTTGTACACGGATGGGCATAATGCCACTTTAAAATGAACCTAATATCTTAAGTTAATATACCGGTAATTCAATAACTTAATTATTAGGGTGTTTACTTAGTCTGTACTTTCTCCATATTTAATAATAGAATTTAGAATAAATGTGTTAATCTGGTCACATCATATTTATTTTTGCTCATCCTTCTACAGGTTCCAGTACATTTCTAATATAGTCTTATATATTAAATGATCTGTAATTGTGGCTTGACAAAAATCAATCTCACAAAGATCTCTTATAGTGTGACAGAGCAATGATAAACTCTGGTAATTTTACAAGTAAATTTTGAATCTTTCAGTCCTTTTGGTTTCTCTAAAAGTGTAAAAGTGCTGTAAGCATTTCCTTTGTTGATTTATTTTGACTGGATGATGTTCTTGATTTTTCTCCTAACAGTGATATGTATAGGTTATTTTACAAGTAAATTTCCCTGTAGAAGTGCTGTAAGCATTTCCTTTGTTGATTTATGTTGACTGGATGATGTTCTTGATTTTTCTCCTAACAGTGATATGTATAGGTTATTTTACAAGTAAATTTCCTTGTAGAAGTGCTGTAAGCATTTCCTTTGTTGATTTATGTTGACTGGATGATGTTCTTGATTTTTCTCCTAACAGTGATATGTATAGGTTATTTTACAAGTAAATTTCCCTGTTGAAGTGCTGTAAGCATTTAATCCTTTGTTAACCATTGTAATGCCGAAGTCGGCGGGCGGGCGGGCGTCAACTTTTGGTTTCCGCTCAATAACTTTAGTTTGCTTTGGCCTATTGACACCAAACTTGGTGTGTAGGTAGCTTATATCAAGAGGCAGCTTGGGATTGCTACCCAGGTGTCTGTGATCAAGGTCAAGGTCACTGTTACTAAAAATAGAAATTCAGTTTCCGCTCAATAACTTGAGTTTGCTTTGGCCTATTCACACCAAACTTGGTGTATGGATAGGTTATATCAAGAGGCAGCTTGGGATTGCTACCCAGGTGTCTGTGATCAAGGTCAAGGTCACTGTTACTGAAAATAGAAATTCAATTTCCGCTCAATAACTTGAGTTTGCTTTGGCCTATTGACACCAAACTTGCTGTATGGATAGGTTATATCAAGAGGCAGCTTGGGATTGCTATTCAGGTGTCTGTGATCAAGGTCAAGGTCACTGTTACTAAAAATAGAAATTCAGTTTCCGCTCAATAACTTGAGATTGCTTTGGCCTATTGACACCAAACTTGGTGTATGGATAGGTTATATCAAGAGGCAGCTTTGGATTGCTACCCATGTGTCTGTGATCAAGGTCAAGGTCACTGTTACTAAAAATAGAAATTCAGTTTCCGCTCAATAACTTGAGTTTGCTTTGGCCTATTGACACCAAACTTGGTGTATGGATAGGTTATATCAAGAGGCAGCTTGGGATTGCTACCCAGGTGTCTGTGATCTAGGTCAAGGTCACTGTTACTAAAAATAGAAATTCAGTTTCCGCTCAATAACTTGAGATTGCTTTGGCCTATTGACACCAAACTTGGTGTATGGATAGGTTATATCAAGAGGCAGCTTTGGATTGCTACCCATGTGTCTGTGATCAAGGTCAAGGTCACTGTTACTAAAAATAGAAATTTAGTTTCCGCTCAATAACTTGAGTTTGCTTTGGCCTATTGACACCAAACTTGATGAATGGGTAGCTTATATCAAGAGGCAGCTTGGGATTGCTACCCATGTGTCTGTGATCAAGGTTAATGCATTTAGTTTTCATGTTATAACTTTGCTTTGACCTTTTGACACCGAACTTGCTGAGTGGCAGCTTTGGATTGCCACTTAGATATCTGGGAGCAAGGTCAAGGTAATTTGCTTACAATAGAATTTTCAGTATCTACTCAATAACTTCAGTGCACTTTGACCTATTGATTGCTGTCACATCAAAACTTGGTCGTTGAAAACCTGGTTTTCGTCACATTGCGACGCTTCTTGTTGATTTATGTTGACTGCATGATGTTCTTGATTTTTCTCCTAACAGTGATATGTATAGAGTGACAGAGAAATAATACATTTTGTAATAACAGTTTTTTAATGATAGTTGGACAATATTGGCTCACTTATACTACCAATTTATATTCTGACCAAATCAGACTGGCACATTTATGTGACATTTATGCAGTTTAAGTAGACATTTTAGTTATACATGCATTTTTTAGCTATACTATTTGAAATTTATTTAAAAATCCATTGTTTTCTGTAATATGCTTGTCCCTTACATTTCCACCCCATCCATCAGAAATGACATCCCTGTGGTGTTGTTCCAATAAAATATTTAATGGTTTGGTGCTGTTTGTATGATGACCTGAGGTTTGTGCTTGATGTTTCAGTCCTTTTGGTTTCTCTATGAATACTTTAAAACGGTCAATGATAACAACACATTTATTTCCGAAGTATTTGCGAAATTCCATGGGCATTGTCTTTCTAAG